TTAAAGTTCCACTAGAAAAACCTTTACTTCAGGGACAGATAACCTACGTTTGAACCAGTTTGGGCTCTGAAAAGGAGGACAGTTGATGGAGGAAAAGAACGCTCATTGGTCTATCATTGGCGCAGACGATAGATACGCCCTCTTTTGGTCAGTTCTATCGGCCTTAATTTAACGTGTAGGCGGGACGTCAAACTGAATATGGGCTATCAAGCTCCTAGTTCTCCTAGAATTATCCAAGTTAATGTGTGCGTTCCGCATAGATCTTCTTCGTGCAAAAATTTCAGAAGATTACGCCGAATCGGTAAGCCAGTTGGTCGGTAAGTTACCTGAGAGAACCAGTAATCACAAGAGATTGTATGCAGTAGACAGAAAACACGGTCTGTTGATCGATTGCTTGCGGGCATAAAGACGAATAACAGAGGAGAGGCTTTGAACAAGAGAAGGTCAAAGCGTTGCTGCACTACAGCGCTTCCAAAACCAGAAGTAATTCCAGTACCTCAGACACATTCCAGTCGAGACTTGATCTTCTGCTTGTGCACAGCACACGCAGTGCCACACAAACCCATGGATTTTACTAAGCGCTGTTGACAAACATCGTACTTCTCCTGTATCTCATCCCTTTTGGCAATCTATTAGTGTACTACAATTTCTGACTGTCAAAGTGTTAAAAAGAAAATCATCGCGAAAGAAACGCTCATTAGGCTTATTACAAATTTGAAATCATCAACTTTGAGACATTTTTTATGAAAATTACACATAATACTGCTGGTTAGATTGTGCCCCTTCAGCTCTATCTTACAGAAGGATTATTACGGTACCGTAACAAGAAACTTTGTAAAAACGAATTTGGAAGTAGTAGTGAGGTGATCTGCCCTGGATTTCCAATTGTAACTGAAAAATCAATATCTGCTGGGAGTAAAGTCCTAGTGGAACGATAAAACATCTGACAAACAGTCTTGAATATGGTTGCTCTGCTCCGGAGACTACCCTAAACAACAGCGTCTGCTGGTCTCCAGAGGAAGGTCTCCTGGGGGGAAACACACGTGACAAAGTGAAGAGAAAGTTTATTGCAGTCAGGATTTGCTGCATTCCTGGGGCTTGTGTATTCGTTGTTAATCTAGTCGATGGCTGTCCTATCTACTGGAGGTAAATTTTTTCCAAACCACACTGAACTTCTTTAGCTGGACTTCCCTCTCATGTAGATCGTAGTGTCGTGACTTTAGGTGTGTATAACAAACCGTATTTAACCTTCCGAGGACGCATGCTTGTTAAAAAATTAGGCGGGGTGAAATCTGCCCTATATGTTTGTCCCATGTGTATGTGGACCGGGGATTCCATTTGTACTTGTTGGCAAAATCTTTGAGCGGCTTGGAGGCTACTCGACTTTTACGAGGAGGCCTTTGTGAGATGCCTCTGCAAATACTATCGGACGACTAGGGCATACAGTATGTGGTTTATCGATTTTCCGGCTGTCCAGGAACTCAGGCACTCCAGTCGTCATTGGCATGAAATTGTAATAGCTGGGTGAACCATCAGCGTAACAGGTTTGTATACTTTCATGAAGGAAACTACTCACAAGGTTGCTAAAAACTCTTCGACAGCCCACGACCGGCTTCGTCCTTCTTGGGGCTCATCAGGTAGGCGCAGTCTCCGAGTTTCCGTCAAACTTATGTTCTACTTGAACCCAAATTGGACTCTGTTTTCGAGAAATACACTCATTTGCAAATCAACTTGGTGTTCACAACAGACTCAGCTGAATCTCTCGTTTATGATATTCTACAACTGAATGTGCTGCACGGTTTATCGATTTTCTGGCTGTCCAAAAACTCAGGCGCTCCAGTCGTCATTGTTGTGAAATCGTAATAGCTGAGTGAGCCATCATCGTAACAGGTTTGGATACTGTTCAAACATGGTACTTTTTCCACGCGAAACAAAGTGCCTAGCCACGGCGACAATAATCGACGCATGAGAGTGACTCTTTGTTCTATGGAGATATCTAGGATTCTTTGAACGTGAAATATGCAGTAAAATAGGCATTGTTTGTTTCACTTATTCGAACACTTACTCGATAAGGGCTTGGTCTTTGGTTTATATGACATCGACGTCCGTGGTAGGGATGTTCCAAACATATTCAGAGTTTGAATCATAACCATCAAGGCCAGGAATTCCGAGGTTCTATCATTTAGGGCCTTAACAAATAACAAAAAGGATTTCCTTTTTTTCTGTTGATGGTAAAAAAGCGGACGGGATGATTTTGGTACCTCAGTGTAAAAAGCATTGTTCGCTCGCCGTAGTACCTAGCTTGATTCAGCTTCACAAATTTTGCCGTTCTCTTCACTATGGTAATTTGTTTAGCGAAAAATTCAACGCAAACAAGTCATTACAGGTGAAGCCGCTCCTTTTTTGTGAATATGATTTTGCTTATGGTGCCTAACTGTCCACGTGGCAAGAGATCCCGATCCTGAAATTCGTGATAGACAGTACTGAAGAAGTCACTTGAACACCATATAATTGTTCAAATTCTGTCTTTAGGGACGAATTCATGGGGAAGTATATAAGAGGGAAACTAACCATCACAACGTGAGTACTTAAATCGATCCACACTTTGAGTGTGTTCAAATGCTTGGGGTAACTTGACTTTAGTGTTTCCGAATGGAATGTAACAACAGAGGTCCATTGTATGAACTTATCCGCATGAGTAAGGATGGGTACGAGGTCCCGCGATCCCCAGATTAAAGCAGGGTTGCTTGTTATGATGTTTTTAATCTCTAGAAGCTTGTGGTCTTGAGTTTTGATGGCAGGTTAACTCCTGGAGGATTGTGCCCTGGTGCAGTCATGTAATCCGTTTGAAAAACAAAAAAAAGTGTGAAGAGTTTTCTGTCCTGCCAACGAGTGTCTGTCATTAAAGGACCGATAAAACACATCTGACATGGGATGAAATACGTGGCTACCCCGCTGGAGAAACTGGTTTTCCGTTTCGTTTTACTCCAGTTGCACGAGAATGTGCTATAGGACTGTGTTTCGGCAGTCATCGTCGCACACATACCTAAATCTTCAAGCCGCCTCAAGCATTTTACAACTGAGGTGCTCGTAATCCAAATGCTGATTCAGCCCTCTTTAATCACTGTAATCTTCCCCCTATTGTTGCTTTAGCTTCTAAGAGACAATTAACATTATTAATTGTTGTGACATAATAATAATAATGATAATCGTTCAGCTGTAACACCCTTCCGGTGCCTAGCTGCCATGCCACCCGGGAGAAGCACGAGGGCTGGGATACTGCCAGGTCGCCCAGGCCTAGACAGGAGAAGTCGAGTGGCAGAGGTCGGGTTCGAACCACGGACCTTCCGGTCAGTAAATTCACACTCTAACCACTTAGGCCATCTTGCCCTACTGTTGTGACATGATTTATCCATTTATGCAAAGTATGGACGTTCAAATAACCCGGGCTTCTTAAATCCACGAGGGCGTGTTTCCTATCCAGACGGTTACGTCGTCGAGATACTTGTTCTTGAGGTTGAGTATAAGTTTGATACACCTTAGTATATTCGATGAACCGTGCAACGTTACAAATTCTTTTCAACTGAGATTACGCCCTGTAGTTGGGACCATTCTGAAGAGCTGAGAAGCATTGTACAAACGTTTCATCCTTACTGGGAATCGTCAACATTGCTTATCGCACGAAAATCAAGGATTTTCGGACCTATGACTTTCTGGTCTCAAATGGCTGAACAGCAATGTGATCAACTCTCACTTATTGACCTTTGTTACTGTATCGCAGTACCGTTTTTAGAAGTACTCTAATCTTGGAGTTTTGCGCGTTACTCGACGCGAATTCTTTGAACAGGAACATCATCAACACTTGGGAAGGTCGGCTTCACATACGAAACCGTCAACTTTCCAAAGGATGGCTGTTTCGTTCTTGCCTGAGCATCTCCTTCTTGACTGCTGAAAGATTCAGATGGATTCTCAGTGTAGGAATTTTGGATCACATAAATAGAGTAGTTTGAGGTATGCCTCAAACCGGGGTTTCTGTAAGGTTCGAATGTTGTCCCCAACACAAAAACAGTAGTTTTTAAAACCGTTTCCTTCTCTGAGAGGTTACTTGAACGGAATTTTTCTCATAAAAGGGGCATACTGTAGGACATCCTATGTTTTTACGGGGAAGAACGGCTGGTAAGGCTCACAGGCAAATGGACTGCAACGGTCGTAGTGGAGTGATTCTAGCTTTAAGACTGTAGATAAATGCGACGATCGAACAGTCAGTTATGAGGAAAGAGGTCGATTTTCGATGACAACTATGGGTTCTTCATCAAAATTATTCTTTTCTAAACGGCTTTTCAGCGGAGAGAGTCTCGATAAGGTTTCGTTTGCGATATTACTAAAATAATGCAGTAGGTGAACACCGGAGAAGTAATTCCAAATGTAAAGGAAGATGCAATGGCCTACAGAAGTACGGTTCAAATATGAAGTCAAGACCTTTGGTATTTTCTTGTTAAGTGTAAGCATCTCATTTCTGAAGAATGGTTGGATCGAACCATTTGAAGGTCAGACTGAGGGTCAAGTGTCTGAATAACTTCAAATGCGAGTGTGCAGGCAGAACAATGAGCACAAAGCAGCTTATGCTGGACAGAAGCTAAAACCTCATCAAAAACACCTGAACAGTCAAACGGGTGAACATGCCTCGGAAATCCGTCTGTTTAACTATCGGATCAAACGTGTTTTTCTCACCTATCATCTTCAAGTCCACCTGATTGTAATGAGCTAGCAGGATGTAACTTTGATTCTTCTGATGTATACTAGTGAAATTCAACCCGAGTACGGCAAGGTGTACAAACAGTGATGTGTGCTAGGTCCTAATTCCCTTGCCTTGCCTTAGCTTGGCCATTTCTTGCGCGGAAATGAACCTAAACAATATTACTAGCATTTCATTTCTCTGTAGGCAAGGAGGAAAACGGGATTCAAGTATTTAGTTGAAATATAAATTAAACTGAACTCACATGTACTACTCCCAACACTTCGAACCGATTTCCAGGTGCAATTCCAAGCTTTCCTTTGTAACTACAAACCCACCAACCAATATATCCTTCAGGGTTACGTTGCAGTACAGTGACCACGTCACCGCGGCAGAAGGATAGTTCAGAAGGGAACTCCGCTTTGTTGTCGTAGAGGGCACGTGCTAGTAGTATAGGGAGTGGCTTCGTAATGCGTTTTTGTTGTGTGGACATTGTGTCGCTTCTAAATAGGTGAGTATTTCAACCCAGTGGTTGTAAACACATTTAACGGAGGTAAATCAAGAAAATCCTTCAATGACATAGTCCCCATCATTGCCACGGGCACATAAGCGAACGTCTCATCTCGTACGCGGATGAAGCGATCCATTGACTTCGCATGCCGCGATAGATGGCACGTGATATCGTTCGATTGCGTGGGTTTAGCCAATCCGGCTCCAGACAAGAATGTCTTACCCTAACACACCCACGTTTCAGTGTTGCATACCTGCTTTGCAATCGGTCGACGGTCGCTAACCCAATGAGCAGTTGATTTTTCGTTCGTCCATGCGCCGGTAGCGACTTTCAAAATAGGGTCACGCACTCTGAAACACGGTGCGCTTTATTCTTTGCTTCCGACGTTTTTTCCAACCAATGAATCAATACACGGCTGGCACCAACATTCTGGTCTGATATTCCAAACGAAGTAGCCACATAATTCAAAAGAACACTTTTGATAACAAATGTAAATTTTCAAGTATACAAGGACGGTGCTTACGTCTTTTGCGTCAAATGAAATTAGGTGATCTGTCATCAAGAAAAGAAATTCTCAGCTAGTAGGCTTTCCTTGGCGTTCGTGTTGAACCCTGAACTTGAGCATCAGGAAATCGAATTCTGTTATATACACCTGGCGAGACATAATAAGGGCGGAACACGCACTGGACCAATCAGTTTCACCGCATAACATATTTTTGAATTCTGAAAGGGTGATAAAAGGTCCACCGTTACTTTGTCCTCGTGGTTAACTAAACCGATGCTGCGAAGTTATGAAGCGCAATACTGATCCACCCTGAGAATATCATAACTAGAGTTTTCAGCAGCCTTATGAGTAGTGTCTACATAACGTATCGCGATATCTCGAATATCGTACAAAATGAAACATGAGGCAGCCTGGGGCGTCACACTCGATTGCCTAATAACATCATGAACCGGAGATTCGGCTGAATTTCAGGTGACTCTTCTGACAAATTGCTATGCAAATGAATGTACTTTTCTGAATCCTTCCGTAGATAATGTCGTTTTTTTCATATCGCTTCTTGACAGCATTTTACCTCTCAGAATGATGCTATTACTCTACGAGTAGAAAGGACAATTTATAATAGCCATAAAATTCCAGTGCCCCGGATATGGTTGATAGGTGATGTCGGCCACTTATGCACCCGCAACACCAGTGGTTCTCAAACAGGAAAGAACTGTTCTGACGTGTTGACACAGACAACAGGACTGTCTGGTGCTAAAAGGCGTTAGTTTAGATACACACTGAGTACGAAGATAAGATCAGCACTAGCAAACTATAGGGACAGTCGCTGTGACGGTCTTCTCGTAGGAACGGAGGTAAAAGGTCTATGAATTAAGAAAACTTATTGGGCAAACAAGACGGTACACAGAGGAAGCCTAGGATGGAAAAATCTGTGAGAGCAGTGAAACTAATAGAGGAAGCAACTGGACGGCTAGGGACGGACGTTAACATACCGAACAGACTGAAGGGTTGGTTATTGGTCTGTTTGCCGAGCTTCGCATTTGGACTGCAAACTTTTCATCACCAACCGAAGTGACACCTTCAGTGTGGGGTTGAGTGAGTCAACTCACTTGAGCTACCTTTATTCCGCAAAATTGCCAACAGACTGAAGGGTTGCAAGCAAAAGGTAGACCTCAAAACCCCACAGTTTTAAGGGTGCACCATATCGCATATCGTCATACGTCTTGTGTGCGCGTACTACCATAGAAGCAGACGCAGAGGCACTGTTCAACAAAGGGTCACGTGCAGCGTTGAACGACCATTAGAAGGTGTTGAGTCGAGTGACCTTGGCCAACATTCTGGTATCGAATTTTGTATCAGGCTGAGAATTAGTCCTAACCTTCAGTGTTTAATTCGACGTAAGAACAACATCCCTCTTTAAGGGCACTCATCTATAGCAGTGGCAGAAATGGTGGGCCGACATCCCTTTCCGGATTACCCTGCCACATCAAACATCAGGCACCAGTACACACGGGGTAATGTCACGTAAGGTTTTCTCTGAGTTGCACGTGTAAACATCGTTACACTTTGTACCCAGTGTGAACCCGAGGGAACGAGACTGGAGTGTGTACAAGAGGGAGCACTTCTAAAGAAAGCTGCAAACCCAACTGGTGGCTAACTCAGCTGAGTAGTTGATCATCACAGCTCATGAAAAGGTTCATCTAATGGCGAGCGGCACTCAGAAGGCGCCCATAGGGAAGCACGAATGGCTAAATAGTGCTGGTCATCATTCAGCTAGGCCTGTATAAGGATGGTCACAGAGAATGACCTGTACCACCGTCAGAGACTTAACACTCCGGAATTTCCGTAGCCTTAGCGCGGGTCTCCCGTGGGTGGATACATGAAACATACACAAACAGAATATAATAGGATATATCAAATCACAATTCAAAACAATACGGTAAAATCCAAGCTCTCCTGGTGACAGTCCTCGAAATCTTCATCTTCATTAAATACAGTCTATCAGATAGGTGGACACCTAGCGCCTCTGCGATCTCTGGTATACTCACACCGTCGAACAGGGCTCGCCTCATTTTCATCTTTCTCTCCCTTGTTTCGATACATTTCCCATTCCTCCTTCTGTGTTCGCTTGTGGCGCGTTGATTCTGCTAACACACGACTCCAAATATACAAGACCACTAGAAGGAAGTGACTGGGCAACTTCCAATGTCTTCCAGTGCCTCGATTTTCAATTTGAAAAAACCTCATGGGCTTCTGGATTTTCACGAGCTGCATCGAAGACCAGCCATCCGCTTCTCTCTGTTCGGGGAATTCAATTGTAGCAGCTGTACAAGCATATTAACCTAAAGATGCTGAATACACTTTGACCAATTACATTTATGATGTAACTTGCTAGGTTACACTGGACTTGTTCGAAAGCAAAATGCGGGCAAAAGATTAAACAAGTCATCTAATATTAGCTTATGACCGTTATATAAAATGTCCCTCCAGTGTAACTGATCCAGGTCCTTCTTGGGAATTCTATAAATAATACAGCGTATTTTTTGTAAAAGTCTCTCGAGTTCACCGAATTAGAAGAATTTACTCGGTTCCATGCTGATGAAATCCGTCAAGCTCGATGTAGAATGTAGGCCAACGAACTGACGCACCGCTAAGCTACGACACACTGATAAAATCACCTGGATAGGTGACGAACGTTTGTAACCAAGCTGTCCTTCTAAGCGGACAGAACAACAGCTATCTAGACGATCTGATCTACCAACGTTCCCGTCGGCAGCTCACTAAAGACCACCCAGATAGTGCATGTAAATTTTGAAAATAGACGCGACCTTAGTCACTCTACATAGTGGATACGTACTGACCTGATTCGGATTCGACTGTTGTTTATTTGCAAAGTTTCAATCCACTTGAATTAGCAGCGAGACTCCTGTCACTTCCGCGTATCTTTTAGAGTGAACAGAATAGCCAGAAGATCGGTCTACATGAGTTCCTTTATGGGTAACTATGAGTGTAACACATTGCCTCGTCTGCTCAGTAGTACAATGGGTGAAAGAAAATTTTGGTAACGGCAGTGTTTGAAAGCAAGAGCAATTGGACCGATGGTGGGTCTAACAAACTAGGCAATTGCTACAGTTGGACCAGAAGATATCTCTGTTGTATTTGTGATGCATTCGTGACGGGCCTAAGCGGAAGCAATCGGATCACATGGCTGTACGATGTGTGTTAAACCTTAGAGCGTATGACCGGTACGGAAGCAGCGATTGTTCCGTTGGATACTAGATAACTCTACCCAAACACCATGACGAGATGCTTTCACCTAGAACCCCGCTTTTCAACCAACCTTTTACCTCGGTTAGGCTTATCAAGTGCATGTTTCTCCAGTCATGAGTCTCAAACGAGACAGAGACCAAAGGTTGACGAAGTAAGCAACTTCAAAGTATTGTTTATGGTAAAGTGTGGTTGGATCCAGATAATCTCAGCCTTCCTTTATGTACCTTGAAAACAATGTGTTGAACGCTACTGAGATGGAGTGTATTGAACAAGGCTTCAGCACGATTCAGTCATGAAAATGGTTAATGATCTTTTACACGATGTACACAGACTTCATTTAGTTCACGCTGAAATCCACGAAATCTATTGTTCACCGAGCGTTTTTCTTATTGCCAGTATCATTTTATTTTTATTCAAGCATTCTTTGTTTATGCGCAAACCATTCAGCATTACGACGTAGATGGAACATATTCTTTGTTTCATTGGAATATTCACTGTTTCAAGGTTTCCCTGGCGCTGTTAACCAGGAGTGGTGAACGTGTGTCATATAGCCAGCCGTAGAAATGGCCGGGTTGACCGGTAACGTGGGTGGTCGAGTACAACTGTAGCGAAAGTCGTTTGCCTGTTAATTCTTCCCTTCTCTATAAGTTATTTTGAGTCTTACAAAAACTGACAATCCATAGTCGATACAAAGAAGCCTTTACAAAAGGACTAAATTGCAGCTGTTTAGTGGTATTAGGTGGGACGTGAATGAGTCTTAAAACTTGTCATTACCTTCAAGCCCGTCGTTTTAGGGTTTATCGCGCTGCCCTAACGTGTTTCGTTTATGTCTTGGAACTACAGGCTCGGGATGTTGGTTGACACTGGATTCAGCGTTTCGTGAATACCGAATTACGTGACATCATTTTTATCTGAACCCTTAGATTTCTAAGGACTTGTAGAGCTCTTTAGTACATCTGACCCCTGTATCCGTCGGGTTGAATTGAACCTGGGTGACAGATCTATGGGGTGCGCATCTTGAGACGTCCGGCAATAGTTTCTGTGTGTACGTGTCTATATACTTTCTGATGATCGAGAATGACAAGATTACCATTGTTTAATTACTTCTCTGATAGTGAAACTCTTATAAAAAGACTGCTGACCCTAACGAACCAGCCACACATGAGCGATAAAGGTATTTCCGATTTAGCAGATAGTCTCAACGAGACCAGTGTTAAACGATTTGTTCCTTGTGGTTCAAATGACCTTTCTAATGGGTTGAACAGCATTGAAATTGACTCTATACATAAGATTTCGATTGGCTATTCCCGTACACCTCCATGCCGTCCTCCTATAGCCCAT